TAAAAGGACTGCTGTAATAAGCAGAAGAAATAGAAAGAGAAACATAACCATAAATAAATAAATAAGTATATATCAATAACCTTAAATGTAAATGGATTAAATGCTCTGGTCAAAAAAACACAGAGTAGCTGAATGGATAAGAAAACATGACTCATATATATGTGTTGTTTACAAGAGACCCACCTCACAACAGAAGATTCACATAGTTTGAAAGTGAAGAAATGGAAAAAAAAAATCTTCAAAGCAAACGAAAATAAAAATAAGAGCTGGGGTAGCAATACTCATATCTGAGAAAATAGACTTCAAATGAAGTCTATAACTAGAGACAAAGAAGGCCACTACATAAGTTTGAAAGGATCTATCCAACAGGATATAACCTTGGTAAACATATATGCACCCAATATAGGAGCACCAAAATACATTAAAAAACTGCAGGAGCCAATGGACATAGACAACAAGCTGGGGACGGAACAGGGGTGGGAGTGGGGAGGAGGGTGTAAAAGGGGGAAAAAGGAGAAACATCTGTAACAAAAATAATAAAAAAAAAACACTTCAGGATGACTTCAAAGGAGACATGGACAGCAATATAATCATAGCACTGGACTTCAACACCCCGCTGATATCATTGGATAGATCTTCTAGACAAAAAATTAACAAGGAATTAGAGACTCTGAATGATGCAGTAGATCAAATGAATTTAATAGATATCTACAGAGAATTACACCCCAAAACTGCAGAATTCACATTCTTCTCAACTGCACGTGGGGCATTCTTGAAGATAGACCACATGTTAGGACACAAACTAAGTTTCTACAAGTTCAAGAAGATTGAAATCATATCAAACATCTTCTCAGATCACAATGGCATGAAACTAGAAATCAATTACAATAAAAACACTCAAAAACATTCAAACACATGGAGGCTAAATAGCATGTTATTAAGCAATGAATGGATTACCTAGGAGATCAAGGAAGAAATTTAAAAACTTCCTGGAACCCAATGAAAATGACCACAGAACAACACAAAATCTATGGGATGCAGCGAAAGCAGTCCTGAGAGGGAAGTTCATAGCACTACAGTCTTACTTTAAGAAACAAAAAAATTTCTAATTGACCTTCCATAACTACAACTTAAAGAACTAGAAAGTAAACAAAAAGAAAAACCCAGAGCAAACAGAAGGAAAGAAATAGTAACGATCAGAGCAGAAATAAACAACATAGAGACTAATTTTTCTAAAAGATCAATGAAACAAAGAGCTGATTCTTTGAAAAGATAAACAAGATTGATTGACCCTTAGCCAGACTCACTAAGAAACAAAGAGAGGACCCTCCCCCCCCCAAAAAAAATCAGAAACAAAAGAGAAGAAGTAACAACTGACACCACAGAAATACAAAGGATCATTAAAGAATACTATGAACAATTATACACCAACAAATTGTACAATCTAGGCAAAATGGACAAGTTTCTAGAATCACATAGTCTTCTAAAACTGAGCCGGGAAGAGATAAAAAAATTGAACAGAGCAGTAACAACTAAGGAAATGAAAGATGTAATCAAGAAACTCCCAGCAAACAAAAGCCCAGGCCCAGACAGCTTCACGGGGGAGTTTTACCGAACATTCAAAGAAGAACTAACACCTGTTCTCCTCAACCTATTCCAAAAAATCCAAGAAGAAGGAAGACTTCCAAACTTGTTTTATGAGGCCAGCATAATTCTAAGTCCAAAACCAGAGAGACACCACAAAGAAAGAAAACTAGAGGCCAATATCCTTGATGAATATAAAGGCCAAAATCTTTAACAATGTATTAGCAAATTGGATCCAGCAATACATTAAAAAAATTATTGACCAAGACCAAGTGGAATTCATCCCAGGGATGCAAGGCTGGTACACTATTCGCAAATCAATAAATGTGATACACCACATAAACAAATGAAAGATAAAAACCATATGATCATATCAATAGACACTGAAAAAGCATTCAACAAAATCCAGCACCCATTTCTGGTAAAAACATTTAGCCATGTGGGAATAGAGGGATTATATCTCAACATAATAAAGACCATATATGAAAAACCTACAGCCAACATCATACTCAATGGGCAAAAACTAAAAGCATTTCTCCTAAGAACAGGAACAAGACAGGGATGCCCACTTTCACCACTCTTATTTAACATAGTGCTGAAAATCTTAGTCACACAATTAGACAAGAAGAAAAAATAAAAGGGATCTAAATTGGAACAAAAGAAATAAAACTGTCATTATTTGCAGATGACATGATATTGTACATAGAAAACCCTATAGACTCCATAAAAAAATCTACTACATTTAATAAACCAACTTGAGCCCTGGCCGGTTTGGCTCAGCGGTTAGAGCGTCGGCCTGCGGTCCTGAGAGACCTGGGTTCGGTTCCCGCTAGGGGCGCGTACCTCGGTTGCAGTTTGTCCTCGGTTGCAGTTTGTCCCCGGCCCTGGTCGGTCGTGCGGGTGGCAGCCACTCGATGTGTTCCTTTCACATCAATGTTTCTCTCTCTCTCTGTGTTCCTCTCTCTCCCTCCCACTCTACTTGAACAAAAAATGGAAAAATGTCCTCGGGTGAGGAAAAAAAAAACACAAAAAACCAATTTGACAAGGTAGCAGGATATAAAATTAACGTCAAGAAATTGACAGCATTCTTATACACCAATAATGAACTCACAGAAAGCAAAACTAAAAAATAATCCCATTTACCATTGCAGCAAAAAAAAATTGGATACCTAGGAATAAACTTAACCAAAAAAGTAAAGAACCTATTTGCAGAAAACTACAAGACATTGAAAAAATAAATAGAGGAAGATATAAAAAAGTGGAAGCATATACCTTGTTCATAGATTGCAAAAGTTAACATCGTTAAAATGTCCATACTAATCAAAGCAATCTATAGATTCAAGGCAATCCCCATTAAAACACCAACAGCATATTTCACAGAACTAGAACAAAAACTTCAAAAGTTTATATGGAACAAAAAATGACCCCGAAGACACAGTAATCTTGAAAAAGAGGAACAGAGTAGGAGTGATCACAATACCAGATATCAGGTTATACTACAAAGCCATAACAGTTTGGTACTGGCACAAGAACAGGCACATAGATCAATGGAACAGAGCACCAAACTTGGAAATTGACCCAATACATTATGCTCAATTAATATCTGACAATGGTGGCAAGAGCATACAATGGAGTAGAGACAGCCTCTTTAATGAAAATAGAAAAACTACATGCAAAAAAATGAAACTAGACCACCAACTTACACTATCCACAAGAATAAACTCAAAATGGATAAAAGACTTATATGTGACACATGAATCCAAAAATATCCTAGAAGAAAATGTAGGCATACAGCACATACAGCAGAATTTTCACTGATACGATGCCTAAGGCAATAGAAAGAAAGGAAAAATTAATACATGGAACTACATCAAACTGAAAAGCAGCTGCACAGCAAAAGAAACAACCATCAAAATGGAAAGGGAACCTACTATATGGGAGAGCATATTGCCAATGATACATCAGAAAAGGGGTTAATTTCCAAAGTATATAAAGTGCTCATACAACTCAACAAAAGGAAGACAAAGAACCCGATTGAAAAATGGGCAGAGGACCTAAAGAGACACCTCTCCAAACAGGACATACAAATGGCCAGGAGACATATGAAAAATGCTCAAAGTCACTAATCATCAGAGAGATGCAAATTAAAACGACTATGAGATATCACCTCATACCTGCCAGAATGCCTGCCATCAACAAATCATCAAACAACAAGTGCTGGCGAGGGTGTGGAGAAAAGGGGACTCTAGTACACTGCTGGTGGGAATGCAGACTGGTGCAGCCACAATGGATAACAATATGGTGTTTCCTCAAAAAATTAAAAATTGAACTGCCATTTGACCCAGTGATCTCACCTCTAGGAATATATCCTACGAAGCCTGAAACACCAATCATAAAGAATATATGTACCCCTATGTTGTAGCACTATTTACAATTGCTAAGATCTGGAAACAGCCCAAGTGTCCATGAATAGATGAGTGGATAAAAAAGCTGTGGTACATATACACAATGGACCACTATGCAGCTATAAGAAAGAAAGATCTCTTATCCTTTGAGACAACATGGAGGGACCTGGAGAGTATTATGCTTAGCAAAATAAGCAAATATCACATGATCTCACTTATTTGTGGAATATAACAAACAAAATAAGCAGATGAACTAAATAGACCTAGAGACATGGAAGTAGAGTTTAGACTGACGAACCTCAGAGGCAGTGGGTGGGTGGGTGGGAGATAAACTAACGAACTTATCTGCATATATGCATAACCAATGGACACAGACAACAATGCTGGGTGGGGGAGCAGGATAGGGAGGAAGGTGTCAATGGGGGAAAAGGAGAAACAAAAATAAATAAAGAAAACTTAAATAAATAAATAAAATAAATGGAAAAGTATCCTTGGGTGAGGATTAACAACAACAAAAAATGATTTTCACTGTCCTCCACCCCACCATAAATAGTGTTGCAGCATTTGAAAGTGACCCCTTGCCTGTCTCCTACCAATCTGAGTCCTGAGAGAGGGAGAAAAAAGTGCTGGCAGCTGAGGAGGAACCCTCTAGCTGCAGCATCTACATGTTCAAGCTTCCTTCTCAAGACTGCACTTACAACCTAGACTGAAGTCGGGGCACGTGAGCAAGCCTGTGTATGAAATGATGGAGTCAGTAAAGCTAAACCTGAGATTCCGAAAACAGCTGAGGACAGAAAACATTTTTGACAAATGTAGAGAAAGGAGAGGAGGTAGGAAAAGATTATTCATTGTCTCCTTACCTACAGAATGGAGACACAGCAGTGTCTTAAATAGTGTTTGTGGTTGTGATTATTAAATGCATTGATTCATGGCCTTATCCGAAGGCTCACATATAGTCAGTGACAGTTTCCTCCATCCTATTATGTCTATGAGAATTTCTTTTTTAGTTACCTTCCGTTGATGCCTTCCGAACAAATATAATCGAGTCCATCCCAACTATTATAGTAGCGAACAATATTTGGATGACTAAGTGTTGCCAAGACTTTTACTTCACGTTCTACCTTCCTAGTTAAAAAAAAAAAAACAGGGAATATAAAGAATCAGTATACATCCTTGATAACAATAACAATACACCTCCTTTATTAAACAGTCCCCATGGTTTCCATACCCAGAGTTTTAGAATGAAAGCCAGGAGCACTGAAAAGGGAGAAAGTGATCATACAGAAAAAAACAGCTGTTTTCACTCTCAACATAAAAGAAAAAGCAGTGACTTAAATCATTGCAAACATCAGACAATTTAATTAAGTCATTTGCAGTTGTCTTTGAAATGCCAACAACACAATTATGGTAACTAATTCATACATTGTCTTATTTTAGACTTTTGTTAAAGTCACTTTGGATTTCAAAAACAAACCCCATTTGGGCAGCAAGGGTAGGTAACTCAGGCTATATGAAGAGCCTTATTTGGAATTTTCAATGTGTGGCAAAAGTACACAAAGGAGAGGATCCAGGCAGAGAATTGGAGACTTCGCTGAACATGTGGGAGCTTTACTGGGATGTGTAGTCAGGAGTGAAGACAGTTCTGTGCTAAATGGAGTTAACTGATTTGAAGTTTCAAGGATGAGAAAGGATAAGCAGACATTGTACAATTTCAGTTTTCATTTTGAAAAAATTCTTAAATGACATACAATTTGTAAAAATAAAGAAAAAATATTCATATATTGACAATACTAACACAATTAGTCATTATTTGGGATTATTTCTTATCATTTTAAAAAATATTTTTATATATTTGGAATTATAATAGTATATAATTTTTATTGCATTTTTTCACATGGTATCTTTACAATTTTTCTTGTTGTTTTATAATCTGCATAACTAGCATGTATAAACTTTCATGTGTAATATTTCAAAAGTATAAAAAACTACAGCAAATAGTATAATGAACCTAGCCATCACCCAGATGAAACAGTTCTTAATTTCATCTATACTCTTACCCAATTCCTCATCTTCCTCTGTATTATTCTGAAGCTACTTCCAGCATCGGATGGTTTCATGTGTAAATATTTTTGGCATACAACTCTTATTTGTTAAAATGTTTTTATCAACTTTTTAGAGAGAGAGGAAAGGAAAAATAGAAAATCGATGTAAGAGAGAAACATTGATTGGCTGGCTGCCTCCTAAATGCCCCACAACCTGAGCATGTGCCCTGACCAGGAATCAAACCAGGACTTCTCAGTCCGTGGGACAACACTCAATCCACTGAGCCACACTGGCCAGGCTAACCATAATTTTTAATGAGTGTAAAATAGCCATTATCAGGGGGGAGAACCAAACACACTTAATCATTTCTTTATTGCTGGACCTTTTGTTTTTTCTAATTTTACACTGCTATAAATGACACTGTGATTTATATCCTCTCATATAGTTTCTTCCATAATTTGGGTACTATCCTAAAAATAGGTTCCTGAACAGGAAATCCATGGGTCAAATCATATAAACATTGTTATGGCTCTAGATTAATATTTTCAAGTATATTTTAACTGTGTTCTACCAATTTATGAAGCCACTACAAGTGTCCCCCAACACTACACCAAGATCATCATTAAGTATTTCCATTTAAAAAACTGCTATTGAGTCTGGCCAGTGTGGTTCAGTGGTTGAGCGTCAACCCATGCACCAAGAGGTCGCCGGTTCGATTCCCAGTCAGGACACATGCCCAGGTTGTGGACCTGATCCCCAGTGGGGAGCATGCAGGAGGCGGCCAATCGATGTTCTCTCTCATCAATGTTTCTCTCTCTCTCATCGATGTTTCTCTCTCTCTCTCTCTCCCTCTCACTTCCTTTCTCTGTAAAAATCAATAAAGGAAAAAAAAATTTTTTAATTGCAATTGAATGGAAGGAACAACAACATTTTATTCTTTTTAAACAAAAGAGTGAAGAAAGGAAAAGCTTTGTTTTGATGCCAAGAAAGTATGAAGGTATTTCGACTGCCAAGGTATTCTCCTTGGACAGGATGTTTGATTGGGATGAAGAGCTCCTAGGGCTCTTTGCCTGCTTCTCAATTGCTCAGGTCATTCTCCTTAACCATATCCCTTTTCCACCTCTTTCTCTAGTTCCATGAAGAATCAGTCTGGCCAAGTTAGACACAGTAACAGCTGCCAGAAAACAAGTAAGACTGGGGAACTGGTGAAGGTGGTTTAAGACCTTCTTGAAAGGAGTTCTTCTATCCCATAAAAGTAGGGTCAGAGGAGGGTGCAAATAATACATTTAAAAACATGGGAAACAATGGGTTATATTGGGAACACAGTGGACTGGCATTCCTAAGAATGAGTTCTAAATCTCCACCTTGCTACCACAGTAAATACATGCACCCACTCCTCAGAATAAAAGGTAGGGTTATTTGTCCTTCCCTAGAATCTGAGCTGGCCTTAGTAACTTTGTTGACCAATATCAAGTGGAACTTCCAAGCCTAAGTCAAAAGTGGGCTTTGTTGCTCCCTCTTGGGATGATTTACTCTAGGGACAACTCTTCTTGGAAACCAGCCACTAAGCTGTGAGAAGCCCAGGCCACATGAAGAGGAAGTGCAGTCCCAGCTGAACTTCCAGCCCACAGCCAGCATCAACTGCTAGCCATGTGGGCTAGCCACCCTGATGTCCAGCCTAGTCAAGCCTTCAGAAGACTCCTGACTGCAAATCCATGACAGATCCCAAGTGAGAATGGCCCAGATACATCTATACATAGGACCATGAGAGATAATAATAACTTGTTTTTAAGCTATTACATTTTAGAATGGTGTATTATGCAGTAAGAGACAACCAGAACAGTTATCAACTATTTTTACCTTTGAAAAATCAGTTCATGTCTTTGCATGTCAGTCGCCTCATCTATAAAATGAGATGAGGCTAGAAAATCTCAAAGGTCACCTTGAGCTAAATTATTCTATAACTTCAGTTTTCATCAAGACAGCCTTAAAAGAATGAACAGTAGTATAGCCATTTTTTAGTGAAATAACCATGGTAAAGTGAGATCATTTTAGAGTCAGCCAAGCTCCTGATGCTAGAATAACATTTTTAAAGTGGACTGGGAAAAAGTAAATAACACACTAAAGAAGGGAAGAGATACATAAAAAAGAATAGTACAATTCAATGTAACTTCTCATTTTAAAAAATAAAATAAAACATTTACTACTTACTCACTATCATATTTAACACGTTTAATAACATAAGTCTTCCCATCAATTCTGTGTTTTGCTTTGAAAACATCGCCATATCCACCTGAGCCAATTGGTGTTATTTCTGGAAAATCCTTGATAAACCTTAAAAGATAAATACCACTGTTATTCTAAGGTCCAGTGTTAGCTGGCCCCCACCCCTTCAGATTTCCCTTAAGGTCACTGGTGAAATGGACTGTATAACAAACATGACTCTCTGAATGAGAAGGGTCTGGTTCCCAGAAACCCTTGAATCACAAAGGACAGTTCCTCCCTACCTCCTCCCGACATAACAGATTATCCCTGGGCGTCACAGTCACCTGCTCACTGTACAGCAGCCACGAGAAAGAATCTTATCACAAGTATAAACTTTAGCAAGAGTACCACATTGTGTTCCACAGTTACCACCGAGCCGTTGTACGAGAAATGAGCACGTGTTGTGGGCCTGCCTCGGTTTGCAGGCCCCGTCTTTCATCACGAAGCCCTGCCAATTCTGCTTCTAAAACCTATCGCTGGAATCTGCTCACTTTCCCCAGCTCTGACATCTTCACACCAGTCCAAGTTCCACCAGGCTCCGGCAGGACCTTGTTACCTGGACACTCCACTGCCTCTCCTTCTCCACTTCAGTCCACGATCCACACAGCAACCAGTGTGATCATGTCTCTCTAATACCTAATAGCCAATAGCCTACCTTTTAGAAAAACACAGAAAGCCGTTATATGGCCTCGTGGGCCTTGTGATTTGGCCTCTGTCTTCCTCTCCAGCTTGTCCCCTGGCACAGTGCCCATTTTCTTTCTTTCTTGTTTTATCTTCACCAGAGGAAACATCCACATGAGAGAGACACATCGGGTGGCCGTCACCCACACGACCCCAACTGGGGCCGGGGACAAACTGCAACCGAGGTATGTGCCCTTAGCGAGAACCAAACCCAGGACTCTCTGGTCCGTGGGCCGATGCTCTAACCGCTGAGCCAAATGGCCAGGGCCACAGTGCCCATTTTCACTGCACTCCAAGACATGACCTTCTCTCTGCTCCCTGAACACTTACATCGCCTGACCTATTTTCACCTTCTTTGCAAAAGCAGTGCCCCAGAGCCTCAGCCTCCCTGTGCTGCCTCATCTTTCAGGCCTCTGACCATAGTTTGTAATTACAGACATTTTCATGTAATGTTCATCCCCACAAAACTCTGAGGGCAGGAACTGTCCTTTTCGTTCCCATATACATCCAGTGTCAATGCCCAGCACAGTGCCAGCTATATATTAGGTACTTATTCATTATCTGTTGATTCTTTATTGTTTTTTTAAAACTTATTTTCAATGCCCCATTTGTTGCAAATAGGCCACTTTTGTTTTAGATATTTTATTTAAACCCAAACACATGATCTACCAGAAGAGGCACGCTTTTTCAAAGTGAAAGCTGGAAAATGAAAAACAGATTCAAGTGGCTCTATTCTGATACTCCTGCAGGTATCAGAATAGAACTTTTTTTGGGGAAAAAAGCACTAGTTTATAGGAATATTTGCTTTCAACATTAAAATCGTCCATAGAGCCCTGACCAGTTTTGCTCAGTGGTTAGAACGTTGGCCCGCAGACCAATGAGTTGTGGGCTTGATTCCGGCACGTACCTCAGTTGAGGTTTGTCCCTGGCCCTGATTAGGGTTGTGCGGAAGGCAATCACTTGAGGTGTCCCTCTCACATCGATGTTTCTTTCTCTCTCCCTCTCACTCAATCTGAACAAAAATGGGAAAATATCCTCGGGTGAGGATTAAAAAGAAAAAGAAAAAAAAAAACACATCCATAAATCTCAGAGAATTCCACATAAGCATTGCATAGATCTACATCAACACACTCCATTTAGATTCGTCTAAACTTTACTTCTCTATGATACAATGATCTTTTGTGGGCCTGACTGTATTAAAATAACTGTTCAGGTGAAATACACGCAACCTGTCTGATGCACAACAGTCCCTTATGAAATCTTTGTCAAATATACAAACATATCTTTGAGAAAATTCTGTTTTACAGTTCTTTCTTACCTGTCGTCTGTAGTATGCTCCTTTCTAGGAGAATCAAATTTAGGTGCCAAATTTCTAAAATTTAAGAGAAGAAGGTAAAATTCAAATAAAACTAAAAATCAAATATAACTTGTATAGAGTGGGTTTATGCCAGCACTAGGCTTTTTCTTTTTTTATTTTATTTTTATTGTTTACACTATTACAGATGTCTCCATTTACCCCAGCTTTGCCCACCTCTCCATACCGTCCTCACCCCAACCTTCCCTCTGGCTATCACCAACTGTAGTCTGTGTCTATGGGTTATGCATACATGTTCTTTGGCTAATCTCTTCACCTTCTTTTAACCAGTCTCCCCTCCCCCCACCCTCTGATAGCTGTCAGTCTGTTTCATATATCCATGCCTGTTTCTATTTTGTTCATCAGTTTATTTTGTTCATTGGATTCCATATATAAGTGAGATCATATGGTATTTGTCTTTCACTGACTGGCTTATTTCTCTTAGCCTAGTAATCTCCAGGTCCATCCATGCTGTTGCAAAAGGTAAAAGTTCCTTATTTTTTACGGTTGCGTAGTATTCTACTATGCGAATGCACCATGGCTTTTTTATCCACCCATCTAGTGATGGGCACTTGGGCTGTTTCCAGATCTTATTACTAGAATTTTTATATCTTGAATCAACATTTGATAGCATTTGATCTTTTTATTTTTTACCCGTTATTACACCATTTCTACCCTACCTATTTATCTACAGAATAACGCACTTCTCTTGAAAACACCTCTCTTAGCTCCGTCCCTTACCCAATTACTCTAGCAACATCCCCACAGGCCTTTATGTCTTCAGTGTAGTGTGTGCATACAAGATTTCTATACATATTTAAAATTATTTTTTTGTAGACTTTAAGCTTTTTGTGATCTTTAACCATCCTCTCTATTTTTAAAACCCTACTCAAACAAGGGTTTACGATACTCTAAAAATACTGAAGACTTAATAAATAAGGCTGACAAAGTAAGTCTGAAAGAAAACTTCATTTCAAACTAAGTTTAATGCATAATGATACTCACATTTTCACCTTCCCCAGACTTTTTCTGGAACTACTCTATAATAAAAGAAAATAAAAAATCATTTCAGATGATTAAATCAATTATATTGCTTTTTTTCTTTCCATTTTAAATCTTTACCCAAGAATGTTTGTATTGATTTTTAGAGAGAGAGAAAGGGAGGGAATGAGAGATAGAGAGAAACATCAATGTGAGAGAGAAACATCAATTGGTTGCCTCCCGTACATGCCCCAACTAGGGAATGAACCTGCAACCTAGGTATGTGCCCTGACTGAGAATCCAACCCACCACCTTTTGGTGTACAGGACAATACTCCAATTGAGCCATCCAGCCAGCCCTCTATTGCTTTCCTTCCTCCTGTATTTCTAGGTAGTTTTGTGACAGCTTTCTTTGTCCATCAGATTAATACTCTCATCAATCTTTTATACTCTTATCGAGCTCTGCTTCCCAGTTTACTTGGTTATATCAATGTTCTCATCTATAATAGCAACCAGGCTGATATGGCAAGAAGGGCAAAAAGGGCAATTGTAGGGCACGCTCTGAAGAAGCACTGAATTTCCAGGTACAGAATAAGGCTTCTTCCCTACTGACCCTCTGGCCAGCAGAGCTCAGCAAGAGGGTGTGCATCCCAATCATGCACAGTGCTCAGACAGACACAGATGAAGCCCAGGGATCTAGTCTAAAATAATTCCCCAGAGGTTTCTGATCTGATCACCAGTTAAAAACTGCAATGCTGATATTTTCATTTTTAGCACAAATTAATTTCAATATTTAGCAAAAAAGAGGAGTATTCAGTATATCTCTCAAAAGTTAATGTCACATCCTTTTATTTTGGTAGATTTTGTGGATTTTTTTTTTTTTTTTTTTACCAATTTACATATAGTAATATACAGTGGAAAGCATCAGACTAAGATTTCTTGTGCTCATATCACCTGCCAGCCTCAGTATTGCTTGACTTCACCATGGAGTAATTTCACCATTCTATTAAGGACCAATATTATTTTCTAATTTCTTCCTATTACAACCAATGTTGCAAAAACATTCTTATACCAGTTTTTCTGTCCACACATGCAAGTGTTTCTCTAGGAGACAACCCCAGGAAGGGAACTCCTTGGTATTACACTATGTATACCCTCAACTTTACTGCATATTGTCAAGTTGTTCTCCAAAATGGTTGTACTGATTTCTACTTCCACCAGCAGTGTACAACAGTCGTTACTGGAACACAGCTGTCAACACTTAGCATTGCCAGACTCAAATTTTGCCAATCTGATGGGTTTAAAACGGTGTCTTTGTTTAGATGTGCAGTTTCCTGATTACTGGGAAGTAAAGCTTCTTTTCATGTTTCTTGCCCATCTGGTATCTCTTCTCTAAGTTTTCTGTGCAGATCGTTTGTACATTTTTCTAGTGAGTTGTCTCTCTTTTTCTTTTTCTTTGATTTGCAATTCTTTATAAATAGGTTACCTTTTTAAAAAACTTTATTTTTGTTTTCTTTATTAATTTTAGAGAGAGAGAGGGAGGGAGAAGAAGAAAGAGATAGAAACATCGATGAGAGAGAACATCGACTGGCCACCTCCTGCATGCCTCCCACTGGGGATTTGGCCCACAATCTGGGAATTGAACTGGCGACCTCTTGGTGCATGGGTTGATGCTCAACCACTGAGCCACATGGGCCAGGCTATAAATAGGTTACTTTTGTAATACTCATCATCACCACAAAAATTATCTGATTTTTAAGTTTATTAATTAATGTATTTATTTTTTTAAATCCTCACCCAAGGATATTTTTTTTCCCATTTATCTTCAGACAGAGTGGGAGGGAGAAAAAGAGAGAGAGAGAGAAACATCAATATGAGAGAGACACATCAACTGATCACCTCCCACACAACCCCAACCAGGGCCAGGGGCAAACCGCAACTGAGAATTGAACTCAAGACTCTTTGGTCTGCAGGCCAACACTCTAACCACTAAGCCAAACCTGCCAGGGCGAAGTTTAGTTTTTATTTAAGTTTAGGTCTAATTTTTTACAAACAGAAACAGAGCTACATTAATGAATCTTTTAAGTACTGTTCAGTTGGTAGAAAATAAGCAAGACCGTAAGAATATATAAAAATATGATGGTTAGTAAGGAGAGAAAGATGGAAATGACAAGTAGGAGAATTCTGCATGTGAGGAATGGGGGTTAATAAAGAAAAAAGAGTCGAAGGCTGCCAAGTATTATTTAGTGAGAGTGCAAGAGATAAAAATAGAAAAATTAGCCTGGCCAGTGTGGCTCAGTGGATTGAGCGTTGCCCCATGGACTGAGAAGTCTTGGATTGATTCCCTGTCAGGGCACATGCCCAGGTTTCGGGCTCAATCACCAGTAGGGGGTGTGCAGGAGGCAGCTGACCAATGGTTCTTTCTCACATTGATGTTTCTCTCTCTCCCTTCCTCTTTCTCTAAAAAATCAATAAAAAACATATTTAAACAAATAGAAAAATTATGGTTGGGTACTGAAGGTCATTTTTCAATGAGGAAGCACAAAAGGGATTAAGATTAAATAGAAAGTTTCGAGACGGATACTATACCATAAAAGATGGAGAACTGGCAAAACTGTTATCCTTTCTTTCTGATCCACTTGCTGAAAAGCCATTTTCACTTTCAGAATCACTAGAAGGAAAGGGAGTAACTATTAGTTTATGAATTCTATTTTTTGTTGATGAATTATTTCTTTCCCTAAATTCTGCATAAACATTAAAACACTGTCATAAAAATTTTCTCTTTCAGGAAGATATTTGAATTTCTCAAATATCACAGTTGTCTGTACACACTTACATCATCGAGGAATTGCTTCTACAGTCACTGGACCCAGCCGGGGAAAGGCCAAGGGCTGAATCATCTTTCTGAAAGAAAGAGAGTCCCTCGGGGGCTGTAAGTACAACTGAATGACTTCTCCACAGCGGTTCAGTCTCTGGGTACTAACTGCCACTTTTATTTCCCCACGTTTACCAAATTCTCAGCCATAAACAATTATGGATTCATACATGGGTCACTGGTGGGACACAGAATCAAGGAATCCTTTTGCTGTGTGATTGGCTCTTTTAAAATCATGTAAACACAGTCCAACCTCAAAACAATTTCAGAGGTAATTTTAAAATACAAAAAATAGCCAGGCCAGTGTGGTTCAGTGTTTGAGCATGGTCCCATGTACCAAGAAGTCACCAGTTCAATGCCTGGTCAGGGCACATGCCCATATTGTAGGCCAATCCTCAGTGAGGGCGTGCAGGAGGTGGCCAATCAATGTTCTCTCTTATCAATGTTTCTATCTCTCTCTCCCTCTCCCTTCATCTCTCTCTAAAATCAATAACGAAAAATACTTAAAATAAATAAATAAAATAAAATACAACAAACGTATCCAAAGGCAGTACATACCTTTGAGGTTTTTTCTGATAGTATACATTCATATGTACGTTTAGCAGCCAATTGTCTTGCCTTCTGTTTGGTAGGACCTGTAGCTTCACCAAATTCTTTCTCTCCAATTTTGCATTTACAATAAAATCTAGGATAAATGATGGAGCATATTTACCCAAATACCAAAAAATAGTAACTCTAATTTATGATTTGGAAAAACACACATCAACGAAGGCCTTAATATCATACTAATATAATAGGTAGATTTGTATTTCATGTCTTTGTATGATTTAAATCTTTAACAAGATGGCTGACCAATTTGTCAGAGTAACCAGGATTGGGTGACATCTCAGCTTGCATTTACCAGGCAACTTCTAACTTTTTGTTGCTTCATTCAAAGATCTGGCATAAAGCCCTGGCCAGGTGGCTTAGATGGTCGAGCACAGTTCCATACGTCAAAAGGTTGTGAGTTTGATTCCTGGTCAGGTCACTTACCTGGGTTGCAGGTTTGATCCACAAATGGGGCACCTACTGGAGTGGTGGGGTAATCAAGCGATGTTTCTCTCTCATTGATGTTACTCTCTCTCTCTTTCCCTTCCTCTCTTTCTAAAATCAATAAAAACAGTCCCAGCTGGTTTGACTCAGCGGTTAGAACATTGGCTTGAGGACGAATGGGTATTGGGCTTGAATCTGGTCAAGGGCACATGCCTGGGTTGCATATTCAATCTCTAGTCCTGGTCGGGGTCATGCAGGAGGCAGCCAATTTGATGTGTCCCACATCGATGTTTCTCTCTCTCTCCCCCTCCCTCCCTTCCACTCTATCTAAAAAAATCAATGGAAAAATATCCTTGGGTGAGGATTAACAACAACAAAATAAAATAAAAACATATCCTTGAGTGAGGATTGGAAAAAAAAAAAAAGATCTGCCATAAAGACACCAAGTGGTGATTTTTAAAAAAATTTCCCCCAAATCAAGAGAGATGAAGGTAGAGATGAAAAAGAGATGACTTGGTGGATTTTTCAGAGATGCTCAAGTAGGAAATAAAAATCAGTAGAGAAAGTGAGGTTTTTCCAGGAGAAACAATGGGGTTACAGTGCTTTGTAGGGAATAGGTGAAGCATAGATTTTGCTCTAACATCAGCAGTTTCTGCCCCTTATCTGAATAAAATCCCAAGAAAACTCCCATAGTGCTCAAGTCCACATCTCCTCATATTAATATAATGACATTTGCGGTGAGGCAAGGATACTTGGACAATTATGTAAGAACTATTTATAAGGTGGCAAAGTATCGTGGAGTTACTATAGACTACCACAAAATTATTCTAGTATTATTTTCTATAGAGGGAAACACACCTAATGAGCATGAGTCTTCTCCTCTAGGCCCTAAAGGGTGAATTAGGGAGCTGGGCTAAGTGACTTTGATCATTTCTACACTTCCTAATTTTCCCAGGCACCTCCTAAGAAGACTTCTCTCATTTAGGAATCTAATGTTAGAGCAACTAATTCATAAAAGTGGTGAGCTAAGGAAAAATAAGATAGTCTCTTAATTTATTGAGACTGACCCACAGAATTCACTTTTGACTAGTTCATTCCAAGGAATACTATCACATTTTTCTCTCCCTAGTTCTGGCCTAAAAGCCATCAGATTAAAAATTCAAACATAAATAGCTCCATCAGTTCAGAGGACAGTATCCTAAAGTCATTCTTTGGACTATTTGTATTTACGTTTTGTTTTCTTACCCTTCATTTAATTGGTTGTTTGTAGCTGAGAAACAATCTCCCTCATGTTCACTGTTTTGTTTTTCTCGGTTCCAATCCATCCTTTGTCCTCACTTCCAAGTACCAGCTCACTGGTGGCGTTCTCAGTAACTGCAACGCTAGTCTGTCCCCCTCAAATATATCATCATATTTCTCAAATCCTGATCTCCTCACAATCTAGGGTGAAATACTATTCCTTCTAATTCATGGGATCTGTCTGCAGAGTGACATCATTTAATCAAATTTGGAAGATGAACACCTGGACAGACAGCGCTCTAATCTGACAATAGTGGAAAGAGAGTCATTCTACTACACGCGTGGCAGAGCCGTCTTCACACAGGCACTTCCACTGTGACCTCAGGGCTAGAAGGATCTTTACATCCTTCAAGCAGGACACCTCATACTCTCTTAGGTGTCCTGCAGATTAGACCATACTCTCTTAGGTCTAGATAGACCTCAGAAATAAAGGATTACCCAGATTTGAGCAATTATGCTATGAGTTCCTAGCCTTCAGCAATGAAGCATTTTCATTACAAAGATGTCCAATAGCTTATAAGTCCTATTAAACCTTCCATGCAGAATGTACAAAAAGGACAAACATTTCTGGAAAATTAGACATGGAAATAAGCCCATCCTATTGCTTAGATAAAATAAAGCAGAAGGAAAAACCCAGTACATCTCACCTTTTGGGCCCAGTCTTGTCCCATTCACGTTCTTGATAATTCACAGACAGTCTTGCCTTTTGGGCAATCCTATGAACAAGGCCTATGTAATTCCCACCAGATAAATCATCAGAAGTATCTGTTAAAGACGACAGTGATAAAGAACTAACTTCCTGCAAAGAAAAAAAATCTTGTTTAATATGGATGACAACAAAAATTTAAGGCTGTATTTTATTTTTCTAATAACATTACTAAATGAGACATTTGAACGACAACTTAGATTTTATGTATTCCCCTACTATATTACTTTGAGTCACAGTGTAAGTATATACCTTCTTCTACCATAAAAATCCCACAATAAATTTTAACAATAGGAAAGCAATCACCCATTTTCCTTTTATAGTTTCATAAGAAAAAATGAGTCAATTTTCTGTTTTTCTTTTTTTTTAATCCTCACCCGAGGACATTTTTCCATTTTTTGTTCAGATAGAGTGGGAGGGAGAGAGAGAGAGAGAAACATCAACGTGAAAGGGACATGTCAAGTGGTTGCCACCTGCATGACCCAACCAGGGCCAGGGACAAACTGCAACCAAGGTATGTGCCCTTAGCAGAAACCAAACCTGGGTCTCTCTGGACTGCAGGCCTATGCTCTAACCACTGAGCCAAACAGGCCAGGGCAATTTTGTTTTTTTATGCAAAATATTATAACACTTTCTAGTTTGCTGTACCCTCTGTAAATCTCAAAAAACAAGATAACAAATATTGAACTAAAGCTATATCCTCAATGATAATGTAATGGGAAAGATGAATATGATAGCATCAACCCTTCCATTGTTATATGAACCTTCTTTTATTCTTTTTATATATATATATATATATATATTTTTTTAATCTTTATTGTTGAATGTAGAATGTATTACAGATGTTCCACATTTTTTCCCCCATTGACTCCCTCCTCCCCACTCCCGCCTCCCTCCCGCCTTTTCCCACACTATTGTCTGTGTCCATTGGTTATGCATATAAGTTCTTTGGTTTATTTCTCCCCCCCCCCCCCAGCCCGTTTCCCTTTGAGGTTTGTCAGTTTAGCAACCAATTTGTACTTCTTTTTTTTTTTTTTACTTTATTTTATTTTATTTTTATCCTCATCCGAGTACATTTTTCCATTTTTTGTCCAGATAGAGCGGGAGGGAGAGAGAGGAAGAGAGAGAGAGAGAAACATCGACGTGAAGGGACACAACGAGTGGCTGCCACCCGCACGACCAACCAGGGCCGGGGACAAACTGCAACCGAGGTACATGCCCTTAGCGGGAACCGAACCCGGGTCTCTCTGGACCGCAGGCCGACGCTCCAACCGCTGAGCCAAACCGGCCAGGGCGCAATTTGTACTTCTTAATCCCTTCACCTTTTTCACCCATTCCCCCAAACCCCCTCCCATCTGGCAACCAACAAAATGTTCTCTGTATCTATGAGAATGTTTCTGTTCTATCTGTTCATTTTGTTTGTAGATTCCATTGTTGATAGATATGTATTCATTGCCATTTTATTTGTTCATATATTTTATCTTTTTCTTCAAAAAGACCATTCATCATTTCATATAATAACGGTTTGGTGGTGATGAACTCCTTTAACTTTTTCTTGTCTGGGAAAGTCTTTATATGGCCATCGATTCTAAATGACAGCTTTGCAGGATAGAGTAATCTTGGTTGTAGGTTCTTGCTTTCCATCACTCTGAATATTTCTTGCCACTCCCTTCTGGCCTGCAAAGTTTCTTTTGAGAAATCAGCTGACAGCCTAATGGGAACCCCCGTGTAGGTAACTAGCTGCCTTTCTCTTGCTGCTTTTAAGATTCTCTCTTTGTCTTGAACCTTTTGCATTTTGATGATGATGTGTCTTGGTGCGGGCCTCTTGGGGTTCATCTTGTTTGGGACTCTCTGTGCTTCCTGGACTTGTATGTCTGTTTCCTTCACCAAGTTAGGAAAGTTTTCTGCCATTGTTGTTTCAAATAGGTTTTTGATTTCTTGTTCTCTCTCTTCTCCTTCGGGCACCCCCAAGATGCAAATGTTGGCACGCTTAAAGTTGTCCCAGAGGCTCCTTACACTGTCCTCATTTTTTTGGATTCTTTTTTCTTTTTGCTGTTCTGATTGGGTGTTTTTTGCTTCTTTATGTTCCAAATCGATGGCTTGCTTCTTGGCTTTACCTACTCTACTATTGAATCTGTGTAAATTATTCTTTATTTCACTTATGCCTCCTTCATTTCTGACTGTGCATCCATTATTTCTGACTGGTCCTTTTTTATGCTCTTGAGGCCCTCACTGAGTTCATTGAGCATCCTTATAAGCAGTACTTTGAACTCAGCATCTGTTAGGTTGCTTATCTCCATTTCGCTTAGTTCTTTTCTTGGGGTTTTGTTCTGTTCTTTCATTTGGGACCTGTTTCTTTGTCTCCTCATTTTGGCTGCCTCCCTGTGTTTGTTTCTGTGTATTACTTAACGAGCCGGTATGGGGCTAGCTGAGACCCGATGCTGCTCGTTTGAAAAAATTTAGGAAAACCTGAAGCAGGATCCAAGACAGGCCAATCCTATGGTTAAGCAAGTGGCAACAGCTTGGGTGGGCCTGAAAGTTGGGTAGGGTGGGGTGGGGCGGGGCCTCAGGGAGTCAGCAGGGCGGGGCTACCAGTGTGAGCCAGGTTGCTGGAGTCTCAGATATGGCGGCTGTCTGCCGCCCCAGGGAAGGGCTCACCAAAGGAACAAAGGCCTCTGACAGCACGTTTGTCCCAGAGAAAGCCCCCTCTCCAACCCTCACTCCAGTGCCAAACAGCTCAGTTCTTCCCTGTGTGTCTCTGGTGCCCCTCGAGCTGCCTCCCCTCCAAGCTTAGAGGGAGAGAGTCCGATAAGTCCGTGCGCGGGCCCTTTAAGGAGCTGCCTGGGGCTCCAGCCGCGTCTGCGTCCCTGAGCCTCAGTTCCTGCTGGTTTTTCCAGCCAGAATTTATGGGGTCTTCTCTTCCTGGCACTGGAACCCTGAGCAGGGTGCCTGGTGTGGGACGGGGACCCCTCAGTCCTCAGGGAGGACCTTCCCAGCTGAGGTGTCCTCCTGATTTTTATCCCCACACGTGGGTGTGGGACCAGCCCGTCGTGCCTCCGCCCCTCCTACCAGTCTCGATGCAGCTTCTTTAATCCCGTAGTTGTAGGACTTCCATTCAGCTTGATTTCAGGCGGTTTGGAGTGGTGGTTGTTCTGTAGTTTTGTTGTAACTTGGATGTGGTTGTGGGAGGACGCGATACTGCGTTTACCTACCCGCCATCTTGACCGGAAGTCCCTTCTTTTATTCTTAATCTGGCAAAATCTTGTCTAAAGTTTTGCTACTTCATTAATGCTGTTTAAACAACTAACTTTGAGTTTTAGTGATCTTTATTTCTTTGTTTTCTTTTACATAAATTTCTGTCTTGATTTTTGTTATTTTCATTCTTCTGCTCTTGGGGGAAGGACAAATAGTTAAATCTTTGTTCTTTTTCTAACTTCTTGACTTGATTTTCTAGATCATTAACAACTTATGAGTTTATAATTTTTTTTTTTTTATCCTCACCCGAGGATATTTTTCCATTTTTTGTACAGATAGAGTGGGAGGGAGAGAGAGGAAGGGGGAGAGAGAAAGAAACATCGATGTGAAAGGGACACATCGAGTGGCTGCCACCCACACGACCAACCAGGGCCGGGGACAAACTGCAACCGAAGTACGTGCCCTTCGCGGGAACCGAACCCGGGTCTCTCCAGACCGCAGGCCGATGCTCTAACCGCTGAGCCAAACTGGCCAGGGCTCGAGTTTATAATTTTATCTGATTTATCTTTTCAACTGTGATTAGAAGGAAAACAAATCAAGATTTTTCAGAAAAGTATCTTGAAAGCTAAATTTTTCTAAAAGTTTCAATATGTGAGAATGGTTAACTTTTTTTTTTTTTTACATGCCCCTAGCAGGAACCAAACCCGGGACTCTCTAGCCCACAGGCCGATGCTCAACCACTGAGCCAAACTGGCCAGGGTGAGAATCATTAACTTTTGTCCCACATGTAAACTTGTCTCATTTTACAGCCGCTGCTCCCCTATCTCTGGTTTTTAATGTTGCTAGGGACAGGATAATACTTTTTTTTCATTTTCACATTTTATACAATTTCTTTCTTCTGCCTACATGCTTGCGGATTCTTTCTGCATCACTAGAACTCGGTTCTTTCACAGTGATTGAAGTTGCTTTTGGTGGTTCTGTCTTTTCCTATATCTGTTGAGTTGTTTTCATCTTCACCCAGGTCTTTCTCTATTTCAAAAAGATGTTCTACTGATATCTCTTCAGATAGCTTTTTCGGTACTCGTTACTTTGTTCTCATCTTCAGGGCTATCAATTATATGTATGTTGGTTTTCCATTACCTGCCCTTCATATACATCCCACTCTTCACAATCCCTTTCATCTCTCTGTCTTTTTCCACTGATTCCCTCAGTTAGGTGGAGGGACTCCTGCCAACACGTGTGAGCTCATTTCTCATTGTCTCCTTTCCCCATTTGTCCAGTTTTAGAGTATGTCACTGTTATTGACATTCTGAACAGGTAGTATCCAGCTTTGCCCAAAATTTCCTAGGTGTACCTCTCATTCAGGGTTCTACAGAAAAGGAGACAGTAGAAAAGACTGAACTAAACTTGTGAAAGCAAAGGTACTTGTGAATGGTTTTATTCTGTATGTCAGTATTTTTACACAGAGAAAAATATAAACTGTATTGTGAGTTCCTTTCCATTAGGAGAAAAAAGGCAATTACTTACCTCTTTTGCTTCATTAAGTATTCCAATCGCTAATTTGGCTGCAGCATTTTTTGCTTCTTTCTTTGATCTGCCTTCAGCTTCTGGAAATTCTCTTTCATTTATTATAACTTGAAATTTAAACCTGATTACAAAGAAAATATTCACAAAATATTATTAACTCATGCACTACCTAGAGATAAGTATTCCAATCACCACTGCCTCTTATGCCTACCTTTAAAGGTTTTGACCTATGCTCAATAGAGAATTTAAGCAGTCACCTCCAAACAGCATGCTAGCACATTATCTTGAAGCATGGCAAAGCTTATACCCTCTTTTTTCTCCGGAGTCCTCTGAAGTTACAATTTCATACCTAGAAGACTCTTTCACAGAACTCTGTGGCAACTTTGCTCTAAAGTATTGACTTTAAAACTGTGCCTGAGTTTCCATTCTCCTAGTTTATATTTTATAGGTATATATCCTTATTCTATATAGCCTCTTACCTTAAGTCATGTGAAGGTCCTGTCTTAGACAGTTCACGATACTCAACTTTTACATTGTTCTTCTGACGGTATTTATTAAGTGCATCTAAGTAGAAACCTGGTGAAAGATCATTGGCCATTTCTCCTTCCGGTAACCTACAATACAAGTGATGTAGAAAGAAGTGACACTCACAGAACATATTTAATCAGATTTTCCCAGCCCATTTTTAGGAGACAAAATGGGATAAGAATTTACTTTACATGACTCATCTCAGCCACACATAAATCCACAGAAAACGTTCTTTAAAAATCTTTCTTTCTCTCCCATGGTCTGCACAAACAAGCTAATTTCTCCAAAGTTTTCAAAACTCAACTGGCCAAGCCCTGGTCGGTTTGGCTTAGTGGTTAGAACATCAGCCTATGGACCAATGAGTCTCAAGTTCAATCCAATCAAGGGCACATACCTCGGTTGTGGTTCATCCCCGGCCCTGGTTGGGGTCGTGCAGGAGGCAACCAGTCAATGTGTCTCTCTCACATCGATGTTCCTCTCTCTCTCTCTCTCTCTCTCCATCCCTCCCACTTTATCTCAAGATAAAAATGGAGAAAAGTATCCTTGGGTGAGGATTAAAACTAAAACAAAAACTACAACTAGATACCACTTCACACCCACCAGAACAACAATAATAGTAATAGTAATAATAATACAGAAAAAATAGTGTTAATGAGGACGTAGAGAAATTGGAACCTTCCTACGTTGTTGATGGGAATGCAAAACTGTGCAGCTTCTATAGAAAAGAATTTGATATTTCATCAAAAAGTTAAGCTTACAATTACCATATGATCCAGCAATTCTACTCCTAGGCCTATGCCCAAAGAATTGTAAAACAGATTTTCAAACAAATACTTATACTGAAATGTTCATAGCAGCATTACTCACAACAGCCAAAAAAAGGAAACGAGCCAAATGTCCATCACTTAATGAATCATTAAGAAAACATGGTATATTCACACATGAAAACTTACTCAGCCATAAAAAGGAATGAGGTGTAGAAATATGCTACAACATAGATAAAGCTTGAAAACATGACAAATGAAAGAAGCTGGTCACAAAAGGCCACATATTGTATGATTCCATTTACATGAAACATCCAGGATACGTAAATACACAGAGACAGAAAGCAGACCTTGTTGACCTCTCTTTTTCTTCTTCCTAATACTTCTTAATCTTCATAGGCGCTAAACGCTGGAATTCCTCACGGCTTGGTCCAAAGACCTATTCTCCTCAAGGTGATTTCTTTCATGTCCATGGCTTTAATGATCATCTATTTGTCATTAACTTAAATTTACATATCACTTATGGACCTCTCTCTGAGTTTCAGATCTCTATATCCAACATCTCCACTTGAATGTCTTAAAACAATTTTAAATGCAAGAGATCCAAAATTGCATTTATGGTCTTCCCTTAAACTTTGGAGTTTCCTGTCTCAAGAAATGACTCTACTATCCATCCATGTCTGAAAGCCATGAATCTGGGAAGCGCCGTTCACATTTCCTTTTCCTACTTTCTCATCCATAACAGAGAACTGACCCACAAATCTTTCTACTTCTCAGTGATGTCATAGCCACTATTTTGGTTCAAGCCGCCTCCATCTCATGCCTGGACTGCTGCACAGCCTTTGAAATCCCTTCTCTACCCTGCAACTGTTGTGATTTTCTCTTTACTTTTGTTTTCATTGTGGTAAAATATACATAACATGAAATTTACCCTTTTAACCATGGGTATTAAACTCACTCACATGTTTTGCAGCCATCATTGTTACCTATCACCGGAACTCTTCTCATCTTCCCAGAGAGAAAGTCCATACACATGACACACTTCCCAAGTCCCCATCTTCTCATCCCCTGGGAACCAACAATACTTTCCATATCTATGAATTTACCTATTCTAGGTACTTCATATAAATGGAATCATACAACTTCTGTCTTTTTGTGTCAGCTTATTTAACTTAGTATAATGTCTTCAAGGTTTATCCATGTTGTAGCATGTTTCATAATTTCCTTCCTTTCTAAGGCTGAATAACATTCCGTCATATGTATATACAGTACCACATTTTGTTGATCCATTTACCTGTTGTTGGACACTTGTGTTAGTTCAACTTTTTGGCTAGTATGAATACTGCTATGAACATTGATGTACAAATATCTGTTTAAATCCCTACTTTCAGGTATTTTCGGTATATATCTAGAAGTGAAATTGCTACATCATATGGTAATGTTTAACATTTTAAATAATTACTACACTTATTTCCACAGTGGTTGCAACAAATTATATTTCCACCAGCAATGCCCAAGTGTTCCAACTTCTCCACATCTTCACCAACACTTGTCATTTTCCCTTTTTTAAATAGTAGCCACACTGTGATCATTAAAAAAAAAACAAAAACGTTTTCTTTGTTGATTTTAGAGAGAGAGGAAGGAAGAGGTAGAGAGATAAAGACATTGATGAGAGAGAACATCGACTGGCTGCCTCCTGCATGCCCCCCATTGGGGATCAGGCCCACAACCTGGGCATGTGCCCTGAATGGGAATTAAACCGGCAACCTCTTAGTGCATGGATCGATGCTCAACCACTGAGCCACACCAACCAGACTGATCTTTAAAAATGTCAACCCAATCAAGTAGTCCCCACAAGCCACCAAAACTGTTCTTGTCGGGTTACCAATGCCTTCCCCATCTCTGAAAGTAGTAATTGGTTCTCAACCCTTGTCTACTTGACTTTAAAACAGCATTTGAGATGGCTGCTCATTGCCTTCTCCCTCCTGTCCTTTTCTTAGCTTGGACTTCTAGGACACCACACTCTCTTGGTTTTCCTCCTTTTTCATAAGATGCTCCTTTTGGTCTCCTTTCCTGGTTCTTCCTTTCTTCTAAATATTGGTCTTGTCCCGGGACTCAGTTCTTAGATCACCTCTCTGCTCTATACATTCATTACCTTGATCATTGCCTCATTGTTAAATTTCACCTATATAATAATGATGCTAAAAGTATGCCTCCAACACTGGCTGTTTCCTGACTTCCAACTACTTTTGTCCAACATACACGCTCCTGAAATGCTCTTGACTCTACTACCCTTTTTGCTGCCTTTGCCTGTTACTACTTCCTAGAGATCTCAGCTCAAATATCATTCTAGACACCCTAGAACAGGTCCTGATTTGGCACTCTATCACAGCCCTTGTCCCCATTATTTCAATTGGTTATTTAATTGACTGTCTTCCAAAAGAGACCATGAGCTACAAGAGGGAAGGGTCCAGGCTTGTAAGACGGGCTCAATAACGAATGAATGAATACCAAAATAACTCCAGATCACCCTCACCCCATGACTTGTCACATGCTTTTCTCTCCGCTTGAAATGCAGTATCTTCATCCTCTATCTACCAGGCAATTCTCACTCATGTGTGAGGATCAGCTAGTACCCCTCAGTGGGCCTGCCTCTCCACCTTGCCCAGCTCCCATCACAGCTCTGAGTGCTTTTAAACTAGTCAGTGAGCTCTTTGGGGAGCAAGTTCTGTGTCTTACTCATTTTTGTATTACCAATGCCGAGTGCCAAGTAGTAAATGTCAAATCACTGGACGAGAGAATGGTTCATTAAAATTTAATGCTCCACTTTATTTTTTTTATCCTCACCCGAGGACATTTTTCTATTTTTTGTTCGGATAGAGTAGGAGGGAGAGAGAGAGAGAGAAAGATCGATGTAAAAGGGACAAGTGGTTGCCACCTGCACAACCCAACCAGGGCCGGGGACAAACTGCAACCGAGGTACATGCCCTTAACAGGATCCGAACCCGGGTCTCTCTGGACCGCAGGCCAATGCTCCAACCGCTGAGCCAAACCGGCCAGGGCTAATGCTCCACTTTAAACCTCCTCATCTTCTCCCTTTTCTTGACCTGCTGTTTTCTGGCATCCTTTCCTCATTCACTCAGTAAATGCTTATCAAATGTCAAGCACTGTTCTGACTCTGAGTATACAGGCATGAAGAAGACAAAACAAGTCTCTACTTGCATTCCACTGAAGGAAGAATGGAAATGGCCCTATGCAGAAACAAATAATAGCAGTGGAGATCACGATGACTGGACGGCCTGGAAGTGCTATGATTAAATTAACTAGGGATATGCAACAGAGGGTGAGTCGGTAAGTGGGGGAAGAAATATGAGGGAGGTGGTTTTAGCTACAGTAGTCAGGAAAGGCCCTTATTAGGAGGCAATCGTCAAATCAAGTCTGAATGATGAGAAAGTCCATCTTACCAAGATCTGAGGGAGCAGTTTCTCGGGTAGAGGAAACCCTAAGCAGGAACCAGTACAGACTTTGGAGGGATAACAAAAAGGCCAGGGGACTGCTGCACAGGGAACATGGAGTAAGGGTAGAAAATGAGTGAGAGAGGTGAGCAGGTGCCACGGCATGGAGCCCTTGTAGGCCATGCTCAGGGCTGTGGATGCTATTCCAATTGTAATAGGAAGCTACTGGCGGGTTCTAAGCAGAGGGGTAATGGGACTGGATTTAGGTTTTAAATGATCACTCTGAATCTCTGCAGGGAACAGAGTATGGGGAGGTAGGTATAGAAAGGGGAGTGGAGCACGAGTAGAAGTTGGGAGACTAAGGAGTGGCTGCTGTACTGGTTTGAGAGAGCAATGGTGGTGGCTGGAAGCAGGGTGCTGGAAGTGCCTAGGTCTGAGCAAAGGCAATGCCTTCACGTTACTGCTTAGTACGGTGGAGAGAGTTAGATCGGGGCTAGAGACCGCAGAACCTCCGAGTCATGATCTGGAAACACCTGATTCACAGGTTGCGGGGAGGAGTAAACTGGATGAAAAGCATCCAGAGTCCCCCACGAGTGTTCCTCAATAAATGGTGGTTCTGGTCTGCAATTCCAACCCCTGCCACACGACTCCGGAAGTAAATAAACTGAAACTGAGATTTACTTTGTTTTCATTTGTTTTGTTTTTGGTATATTCTTAGCCCTCTGTCTAGACCTAAACTGACATAACCTACTTAGAGTATTTATCATACTTTGTTGCCTATTTATCATTTGATTGCAAATATATGCTTTATTATAGTGCTGCCTCAAATCCTGCTGAGAGCATTACATAATAGATATGGTCTGTGCTGCGCCTTTCTAAAATCTGAAATCTCAGTACCAGAACACACCTGGCTCAAGGTTTCAGAATAAGGATCTATAGACATACCATTATTTTCAGGAACCCAAGTGTCATTTAGTTTAGTCACAACCATGAGACCATACAAGTTGGAGGGGGTCACAGATCTCACAACAGCAGTTAGGGAAGAGTCCTTATCAATCACTTAACCAGAAACGCTAACAATGTTATAAATCCTCAGCGCTTTTAACTTTAACTGTTAATCATCAGAATAACAAGCCAGTTCAAATTTAAGTGAAATATATGTGCAAACTTATAAGGTGCTGAATTGACATGTTTGAAAAAGTACTTATAAGTTTGTAAAAAAAAAAAAAAAAAGAAATAGGCCCTGGCCGGTTTGGCTTGGTGGTTAGAGCGTCGGCCTGCGGTCCAGAGAGACCCGGGTTCCCTTCCCGCTAAGGGCACGTACCTCGGATGCAGTTTGTCCCCAGCCCTGGTTGGTCGTGTGGGAGGCAGCCACTCGGTGTGTCCTTTACACGTCGATGTTTCTCTCTCTCTCCCTCCCACTCTGTCTGAACAAAAAAGAAATAGGTTTCTTTTCTTCTTAACTTTTTCTTTTTAATCCTCACCCGAGGACATTTTTTCATTTTTTTGTTCAGATAGAGCGGGAGGGAGAGAGGAAGGGAGGGAGAGAGGAAGAGAGAGAGAGAGAGAGAGAGACATAAACATGAAAGGGACACATCGAGTGGCTGCCACCCACACGACCCAACCAGGGCCGGGGACAAACCGCAACCAAGGTACATGCCCTTAGTGGGAACAGAACCCGGGTCTCTCTGGACCGCAGGCCAATACTCTAATCGTTGAACCAAACGGGCCAGGGCATTTTTAAACTATTTTCAATAAATCTTGTTTTAATGCTATGTTGCCATTTTCCTAAAAGAAATCGCTGCCATAATCACCAAGAAATATTATATGCCCATCTTCCTCATACCCAGAAGTAACTTTGGCTGTGCCTCAGTCTCTTAGGGCAGACTCTGATCTCCTGCGGGCCCAGCCCCCTCCAGGGCCTGCACTGTAGTTGCATGCAACATGTGTTCAAGTAGTATCTGATGAATTAAATGAATAACCTACAGTTCAAGTGTTATGAATCTTCAGGTTCAAATAAGCAAACTGAAGAAAAAGAGCATAGTCTGCCCAAGATTCTAAATTCCTAAATGACAGCAGAGAGTGTACCTTTTGGCTGCTATCTGGCAAGGCATTTTTAGTACTAACGAAATCACAGGCAATTGGAAATTTCATTATTCTGTAATTCAAAAGACAATATATGAATAACCATTCATTAAACAACTATTTATGAGCACCTATTATGTACTAGGTGCTGGGGTTATGCCAGCGAACAAAACACTGCTCTGGTGAACTTACTAGTGGAGGAACACAGACAAACCCATAAACAATGTCACAGGGTGGTAAGTACTAGGTTGAAAACTGAAGCAGAGTAAGGGGACAGCAAAGGAAGGGTGGGGTGCTTTTTACATGCAGGTTTTTCAGGGAAGCTGCTCTGACAAAATGACATTCAATAAATGTTGGGCAGCCCCGCCAGTGTGGCTCCGTGGTTGAGCAGCAACCCATGCACCAAGAGGTCGCAGGTTCAATTCCCAGTCAGGGCACATGCCCAGGCTGTGGGTCTGATCCCCAGTTGGGGGCATGCAGGAGGCAGCCAATCGATGTTCACTCATGGATTTTTCCATCTCTCTCTCCTTCTCCCTTTCTCTCTAATATCAATTAAAAAAAAAAAGTTGGGGAGCTCTGGCCAGCATGTCTTAGTGGTTACAAGGTCAGCCCAGGCACCAAAGGATCTCTGGCTGGATTCCTGGTCTAGGGCATGTACCCAGGTTGGAGGTTCCATCCCCAGCCCTGGTCTGGGCGCCTTCTGGAGGCAACCAATCCATGTGTCTCTCTCACATAGATGTTTCTCTCTCTCTCCCCTCTCCCTTCCGCTATCTCTAAAAATAAATGGGGGAAAAAAAAATCCTCCAGTGAGGATTAAAAAAAGAAATGTTGCCCTGGCCGGTTTGGCTCAGCAGTTAGAGCGTGGGCCTGCGGACCAGAGAGTCCCAGGTTCAGTTCCACTAAGGGCAGGTACCTCCCTTGCAGTTTGTCCCCCGCCCGATTGGGGTCGTGTGGGTGGCAACCAGTGGATGTGTCTCTCTCACATTGATGTTTCTCTCTCTCTTCCTCCCTCTCTCCCTTCCACTCTATCTGAAGATACATGCAAAAATGTCCTCCGGTGAGGATTAAAAAAAAAAGAAAGAAAGAAATGTTGGGGAAAGTGAGGGACTTGGCCCAAGCAGATATCTGGGGGAAAAGCTTTCCAGGAAGAAGAAACAGGAAGTGCAAAGACCCAGAGGCAGGTGCAGGCGATGGATGGTGTGGAGCAGAGGTATGTGGCAGAGAGGGTGGGGAGGGAGCTGGGGGGCGGCTAAGGCACGGCACTTGGGAAATAATTTTAACCGTCCAGGCAAGAGATTTTTGGTCATGGATTACTGAGTCAAGGTATGGGTCATGCGACCCTCCTCATTTCCCATCTCTCTGTCAAGTCTTGGGGCTCATCCGTTTTCCACGAGGCGCCCCGCCCCCCACCCCGGCCTGGGCTATTACTTGCTCGGATAAAAATCTTCCCGGGCACAACACGGCTGCCAGTTCTCCGCGCTGCACAGGTTGGGAAGGGCCGGCGCCTCGGCTGCGGGCCTGGCTCAGCGCTCCGGCTGTGGCGGTGCCAGGGCTCAGGGTTTGTCACCAGCGTCAGAACCCAGGATGGGGACGCGCTGCACGAGCCTGGGCCCCTCGCTGTGCTGGTGCCTCCCCGCGCCCCGACCCCTCGCTGTGCCCGTGCCTCCCCGTGCCCCGGCCCCTCGCTGTGCCCGTGCCTCCCCGCGCCCCGGCCCCTCCCCCTCGCTGTGCCGGTGCCTCCCTGCGCCCCGGCCCCTCGCTGTGCCCGCTCACCTCGCTCCGGCCCCTCGCTGTGCCCGTGCCTCCCCGGACCCCCACCCCTCGCTGTGCCCGTGCCTCCCCGGACCCCCACCCCTCGCTGTGCCCGTGCCTCCCCGCGCCCCGACCCCTCGCTGTGCCCGTGCCTCCCCGGGCCCCCACCCCTCGCTGTGCCCGTGCCTCCCCGGGCCCCCACCCCTCGCTGTGCCCGTGCCTCCCCGCGCCCCGACCCCTCGCTGTGCCCGCTCACCTCGCGCCCCAACCCCTCGCTGTGCCCGCTCACCTCACGCCCCGACGACACCTTGCTGTGCCCGCTCACCTCGCCCCGACCCCTCCCTGTGTCCCGCTCACCTCGAGCTGCCGCCGTGTCCGAAGCCCTGCAGGTCTGGGCCGCTTACTCTCGGTTTCGTTTTCCCCGCGGACTCCGCCTCCGGCGCGGCGGCCAGCCTTTCCCGCAAGTCCTCACAGCTCTGGGGAGCCGCTGGAAACTGGCGCCACTGACAGAAGGCTCCGCTGACAGGCCACTTTCCCGCCTGGGCGTGTCCAGGCCCCGCAGCCCCGCCCCGGCTCCTGGGAATCTCGGCCGGTTCGGTCAGAAACCGCAGGAGCGGGTCCGCTGCGGTCTGGAGCGCCCGGGGCGAGCCAGGCGCTCCTGCACTAGGCTCAGGGACAGACCGGGCAAACATTTGGGGTGAGTGGGGATGGATTATTATCGGCTCCATTTACAATAGAAGAAATAGTGGACTCGCCCAGAGTTTTGGGGCTGGTAAGTGGCAAAGACAGCATTCAATTAAAGGTCAGGCCCCTAAATCAAAGCACTCCTTCACCTTGCCACACTGCTGCCTGGTTGTCGTCACCTTTACAAGGCCTGGGGGCATAATCTTCCTTCTTCTGTTTGCACCCATCCATTGGCTCATTCAATAGAGTCTTGCCCTGGCCAGTTTGGCTCAGCGGTTAGAGCGTCCACCTGCGGTCCAGAGAGACCCAGGTTCGGTTCCCGCTAAGGGCATGTACCTCGGTTGCAGTTTGTCCCCGGCCCTGGTTGGTCGTGCGGGTGGCAGCCACTCGATGTGTTCCTTTCACATCGATGTTTCCCCCCTCTCTCTCTTCCTTTCTCTCCCTCCCACACTGTCTGTACAAAAAATGGAAAAATGTCCTCGGATGAGGATTAAAATAATAATAATAATAAATAAACAGATCCTTGCCAGCCGCTGTACCCAGCACCAGCCAGTTTCAGCAGTTAGGAGAGCCACCTGCTCCCCGCGGGACCCCATGGAGCTTACTACCAAAACCTTAACAGCAGTCTTCGATTTATAAGAAATCCTGCTTACCTGATAGACTATGTATGGCACACTCCCAGAGTGATACTTAATTTCATTGGCGCGTGACTGAGTGCTGAGGACTTACCCCACAGTAGGGCAAGGTAGGTGCCATTGCAATGCCATTAGCAGATGAGAAAACTGAGGTTTGAGGCACAGAGAAGTTAAGTAACCACAGCAGATAAGTAAATGGAGCTTGAATTAGAATCAGGAGACTGTACCATCAACACCGTAGTGAGGGTAAAGGAGAGAAGTGCTCCCAAGATGGACCTCAAGTGTATATTAAATATTGAGCATTGGCTCTAGGAGACCTGTTCCTCTTCTCTTCTACATTTCCCCACGTGGCTATAAACTACATTTTCCTTGTAGCTCTAGACATAGAGATTGAACATACTGGGTTCCCTTGTGAATGTTCACCAAAGGCATCCACTTCTGAGGAGGCTTTTGACAAGCAGGGAGACAAGAAGACTTTTGTAGATGTTAGTCAGCTTTCCCCCAAGTGCTTTTTCAAAATGAATGAAGAGTATGTGGCAATAGGAATGTGTGACATGTGTGAATTCATCAACATGTAATTCTCAGCCCCTGTGTGGCAGCCGGCTTATTTGGGAGCCCTTCCATCATGGAGTGGGCTGGTATTTGTGGAGTAAACAGTCATTTCAGATATGAATTTGCTTTTTCCACCTGTAGTGCCTCTGTCAGCACCATCATTGTTGGATATTCTGAATACCTTGTTCACCATCATGGTATCTCTTATTAAGGAACCCATTTTACAGAAAAAGAAGTGAGGCAGTACACTGTGGGACAGTGGGATGGACTAGTGAAGACTGAGTCACAGCCTCAAGAAGGAGACAACACTTAACAAATTGGGTGTCTGTCCTTCAAGTGCAGTATATGCTCTAAATCCAGTTGCTATTCTTTCCACTGCCAAAATACATGAGACCAGGAAAGAGTAGGAGTGTCTCCCACAGGTAAGCCTTATCGTACACTTGCAAAGTAAGTGCTACCTGCTCCTATCACGTTGGTCTCTGTTTCCTATGACATTGGGCTGTTACCACTAAGGGACATATAATTCCTTGATCAAGAACTTGAAATTGCATCTGGATATTGCAGGTTCATCATGCCATCAAGTCATCAAGAAAATAAGGGGATTATTGAACTGTCTGGCTGGTTGATATGAATTACCAAGGGGAACTAGTGATGCAGCCACACAAAGGAGTCAGAGATGGATATGTCTTCAAGTCAGGGATTTCTCTGGGGTTTCTTCTAGTAATCCCTTTTTCAATGATAAATATTAATGGAAGTCTAAATATTAATGGAAGTCAACACAAGCAGGACTACTAAGGGCTCTCTCTGATCCTTCAAGATTGTTGATTTTTATCATCCTACTAGCTGGGGAGACTTCTGAGGACAAAGAGAACAAATGAAGAAGGAAGCTATAAACACCAACTGTGGTCTCATGACTGGTTGCAGAATAAAGCACCCTAGAAGCTATGCATGTTATTTTACCTGCTTTGTTTTTTTATGTATTAATGAACTTCTTTTAATTGCTTTCCCCTTTCCTTTTATATGAGATTAGCTGGTGATGATTAATTTTATTTTATTCTTCACCCGAAGATATTGTTCTTATTATCAGATAGAGTGGGAGGGAAGGAGAGAGAGAGACAGAGAGAAACATTGATGTGATAGAGCCACATCGACTGGTTGCCTCCCTCACGACCCAACCAGGGCTGGGGATGAACTGCAACAGAGGTACGTTGCCCTTTACTGGAATCAAACCCACGACTCTTTGGTCTGTGGGCCGATGCTCTAACCGCTGAGCCAATCCGGCCAGGGCTGGTAATTAATTTCATAAGGCAGTTTTACATGAGAGTGTCTTAAGGTGGGATTGTGACTAAAATAGAAGAGGAAGGAACATTATATAGCAATGTATATAAAGATTTAAGGGAGAGGATATGCATGTTTTCATTTGAAGAAGGGAATGCACTAAATGGGAATGTAGTTTTATTGCTTGCTTCAAAGATTATTGGCAGAAAGAGTGGACTGTACTAAATATTGTTAATTTTTATTTAGCTTCCATTTATCCCCTTCTCTGTCTCCTCATCTAGAAGGTTAAAACCACATTTTCCAGATTTCTATGGAGTTGATGTTATAGATATAATTCGCGTTCTGCCAATGACTCATAAGCAGTGGTACAAGATTTGGAAGATGGAGGCAAGGATAAGGCCATCCTTCTTGGCAGGACAAGCTGACAAACAAGTTCCCATGCTGAGGAGTGTTTGCAGCAGCTGGACTGCAGAATCATGGTCAGTTCTCCAAGGATTTGGGCAACTGGGGTGGTAGCAGTGGTGGAAGCAGTGGCAGTGGCAGGGTCCTGGACTTTTTTTTTTTTTTGGTATGTGCCCCTTCTGGGAACCGAACCCGGGACTCTCTGGTCTGCAGGTCGATGCTCAACTGCTGAGCCAAACTGGCCAGGACGGTCCTGGACTTTTGACCGCTGCCATGGAGCTCTCCTAATTTCTATTCTGCCATTCGTTCCAACAACTGTTAATTTCCTACCAAATCTTTTTGCTTAACATATGTACAGTGGTTTCTGATTCCTGTACTGAACAAGGAGAAGACTCCTTGGAAATGGAACCTACGCCAAGGGATTATAGTTGAAAAGTGAAGACTAAGAATCATGTTCTTGTTTGAGCCCTGGCTCAAGTCTCACCTGAAGCTAGCCCTATCCTAGACTGATCAGTTATAAGAGCCCTCTCTTTCCTTTTCTTTCTACCATAAACCAATTTGTGTTTGATTTATCTGTTAATCACATCAAAAACATGTTCTGATATTTTAAAAACATACTTCTTGGCCCTGGCCGGTTTGGCTCAGCGGTTAGAGCGTCTGCCTGCGGTCCGGACAGACCCGGGTTCGGTTCCGCTAAGGGCGCGTACCTCGGTTGCAGTTAGTCCCCGGCCCTGGTCGGTTGTGCGGGTGGCAACCACTCGATGTGTCCCTTTCACATCGATGTTTCTCTCTCTCTCTATTCCTCTCTCTCCCTCCCACTCCACCTGAACAAAAAATGAAAAAATGTCCTTGGGTGAGGATAAAAAAATAAAAATAAAATAAAACATACTTCTTGGGGGAAAATCCCTTAATTCATTGATTTACTCAATAAATATTCATTGAGTGCCTCCGATGTGAAGCACTGTGCTGGAAATATAATGATGGCCAAAAATAACATTGTTTCTATAAGTGTTTATATTGAAATTAGTTCCCTAAGGATTGGATGTTTGTAGGAAAGGAAGGAACTTTATGTTTGGCGGAATGGATACTTAGATAACATAGATACATAGATAGAGTAGAAGCATCTTTGTTAACTTTTGTTCATTTTTGGTGATGGCCTTATTTAATATGTAACTGTGAATTCCAATTTGATTATTGACCTATAGTTACCACCATAGATCTATTTTATAATTTTTTTTTTTATCCTCACCCGAGGACATTTTTGGATATTTTGTTCAGATATAGTGGGAGGGAGAGAGAGGGGGGGAGAGAAAGAAACATCGATGTAAAAGGGACACATTGAGTAGTTGCCACCCGCACAACCCAACCAGGGCCGGGGACAAACTGCAACTGAGGTACATGCCCTTCGCGGGAACCGAACCCGGGTCTCTCGGGACCGCAGGCCGATGCTCTAACTGCTGAGCCAAACCGGCCAGGGCCTATTTTATAATTTTGACACAATGACTTTAGGTCAAATATATTACAGTACAACTAATCAGAGAGAGATAAAAGGAATCTTCATGTATCAAGTATTTTTAATTTTTTAACTAGCAAATGAAAAATAACTGTTGTTTCTACATTGGGAAATTGCCAAGTAATGTAGCTTGGAATCAGAAAGTGTGTCATCTCCAGCTTTCTTCTTCTTTCTCAAGATTGCTTTGGCTATTCGGCATTGTTTGTAGTTTCATATGAATGTAAGGATTATTTTGTCTATTTCTATGAAAAATGTCATTGGAGCCCTGGCTGGTTTGGCTCAGCGGTTGGAGTGTCGCCCGTGGACCAGAGAGGCCCAGGTTCAGTTCCCACTGGGGGCGCGTGCCTCGGTTGCAGTTTGTCCCCTGCCCGGCTGGGGTTGTGTGGGTGGCGGCT